CACACACACACACACACACACACACACACACACACACACACACACACACACACACACACACTCACACACACACACACACACACTCACACACACTCACACACTCACACTCACACACACACACTCACACTCTTCAGTGTCCGGGACATGAAATGCCTCGTCAACCATCACATTTACAACCATCGACCAGACCCCGCAGCCACCACCGTCATTCTACCTCCGGCCACGTATCGACCAACAGCCTTGGCCCTGACGAATGGATCCGTATAAATACGTGGCTTACACTCTGACAACACACTCAGCACAACCTTTCAAGTCACCAAAAATAAGTGGCTGAAAACAAGGAGCTATGCGGTGTAGAGTATAAGTGGAGACTAACAGCGGGGAGAGTTACTCGGTGCCACACATCAGTGGCACTTTGTTGATGCGTTTTATATGCAAGATATCAAGAGGATCGCAGTGGGAACATTTATAGGCCGCACGCTACCTACAAATCGCAGGACACGCACCATTGAGCAATTGCAACACAGATTTAAGCAACAACGAACACTACACCGTGTTCAACTGGCATAATTACAACGTAGATCAATATAACATAGGTTAATGTAAGACGTAGATCAATGCAGCACAGATCAATTCAACGCAGGTTATTGCAACACATCAATGCAACATAGATTAACGCAACATATAACAATGCAACATGGATTAATTCTACTGAGATCAATGCATCACTTGTTAGTGAAATACAGATGAATGTAACACAGACCAATGTAACACAGACCAATGTAACACAGATCAATGTAACACAGATCAATGTAACACAGATCAATGTAACACAGATCAATGTAACACAGATCAATGTAACACAGATCAGTGCAACACAGATCAATGCAACACAGATCAATGCAACACAGATCAATGCAACACAGATCAATGCAACACAGATCAAGAGAAAATCGAATAACATAGTAAAAAAAACTCGTTAGCAAGCAACTATTCTGTTCAACTGTATTAGACAAAAATCTAAGAAGTTCTTATACTGAGAGATATAGTTATAGTGAGAGTTATAGTGAGAGTTATAGTGAGAGTTATAGTGAGAGTTATAGTGAGAGTTATAGTGAGAGTTATAGTGAGAGTTATAGTGAGAGTTATAGTGAGAGTTACAAAGGAGGATGTTCGTCAGCTGAGACTGACACCAATACACTTCAGTTTTATCAATATTCATCTTAACCAACATGACTATGTCTGAAGTTTAAGATTCGTAGAGAAGTACTGGGCAAGGTTTGTTAGGTTTAACATCTAAAGACGGCACGAGGGGTCGTCAAAGCTGGTTTACACACCTGTATGGGCTGGCTTACACACCTGTACGCCAGCAATAAAGAATGTTTCACACTAACATAAGGATAACAGTATACTAACACTGTATATGAACTGAGAGATACGTATCTCGGTGTATATACACTGAAATATACACCTATTGGTGTATGCACACTGAGATAAACCCCCATTCGGTGTATAATACTCTGAGAGACTACACCCTTCGGTGTGTGCACACAAGAGATGTATACCTCTCTGTTTAAATACACTGCATCCAAATATTGGATATAAACCACGGGGGCTGTCGATTATACCTATTATACTGCTATCGGGTTGCCACCTGCAGACGGGCGCTCTCAGCGCCCACTGGAGTGTTTCATATATAATTCAGCGTGGATAGGAGACTAGCGCATGGGGCTCCCCGAGGTTAATTAGCGGGCCGCTTACGGTATCCGTGCCTTCGCTTACATCACAAAGAACAAAGGCCATTGCTCCACCCGCCTGGAAATTAATTATTGACGGTAATCGCAGTTAAGTTTCATGTTTCGCCGGAGTGCACCATTCACCCGACCGGGAGAGCTCACCACGAGGACTGGACCCGTTCACCACTTCACCCTCCCTTTCCCCTCCTTCTTCCCTCCTATTACTCCACTCTCCTCTCCGCTGTCCCTGCCTGCTCCTCCGCCATCCTTTTCTGTCGTCACCCTTCCCCCCCTCTCCTCCAGTTCCACTACCATCCTCGCCCGCCATCCCCTGCGTCCCCCTCCCTCCCACCATCACACTACCCCAACACCAGTACTTTCCCAACACAGTTAAAATTTCCAAAGGGTTTAAATCGATGCGCAATTTTAAGTGTTCTTGTGAGTGTTATCATAGTGCTTGAATTGTGTACAGTGTGGTTTGTTCGAAGTGTTCTCAGGTATTCTTATTGAATTGTGTAGTTGTGTGCCCTGGTTCAGCGAAATGTGTACAGGTTATTCTATTGAATTGAGTAGTAGTGAGCGCTGGTTAGAAACACGATTCTCTGATTTATCGAAATGTTTCTTTCTAGGTGTTACGTATAGATAGCAGTATGTACAGCTGATAAAACGCATTCTTCTATATATTAACCCACCCGCCTGCATAATATATTAATAGCATATTATATAAAATATTATATATATATAACCTCACATCCACCATATATATATATATATATATATATATATTTTATATTATATATATATATATATATATATATATATATATATATATATATACACACACTTTCAGTTTAATTTTATATTGGCTATTAAAGTACCCTTGGCTGGTGGTGGACAAGCCACATGCAGCCTTAATGACCCTCGTGTAGTCAATAGGCTTTAAACCTAATAAACCATCCAACTAGTCATGTGCACTGCCTGCCACTTTGATAAAGGATATTGATTCATTTCTTTGAGCCATTGGGTTCCTGCGGCACTTAGAGCAAAGCTCATAAATCAGAGTGAGACTGGAAGCAGGCAGGCAGGCAGCTTCTAAAAGGTACTCACCGCTTCTGGTTTATACTTGGCCACCTAAATGGTGTATTATTATTCCATGGGGAAGCGCTAAATCCGTAAGGGGTCATAGTGCCTTGGGAATGAGAGGCAATGAGTATCGATCTAAGGGAAAAGAAACTCCTCTCTCCCGGATTAAGATCCCTTCACTGGCAATAAGGCATAAAGAAAACTTATAGCGCCTACCTGGAGTCGCTTCCGGAGGTCACAGCCCCCGCGGACCGGTCCCAGATCAGGCCTCCTGGTTGCTGGCCTGATCGATCAAGCAGTTAGTGCCAGCTGCCCGCAATTCAACGTATGCACCACAACTCGGCTGATCAGGAGCTGTTTTGAGGAATCTGTCGAGTTTCCTCTTGAAGACAGCTAAAAAGTCCCCAACCTGTACTCTGAATTAGCTACACATGAACTTAAGAGCCGGTGCAGGATACCTCCAATGACAAACGGGATCGATAAGTACACTGAGAGAAAATTCATTAAGTGTAAAGGGACCACGACTCTTCAACGCCCTTCCTGCATTGTTAAGGGAGGATTACCTACTAGCTCGTAGCTGTCTTCAAAAGGGAACTTAACACATTCCAAAAATTAGTTCCTGATCAGCCTGGCTGTAGTGCATACGTTGGGCTGCGGGGGGAGGCCACTAACAGTTTGATCAACCAGGAGGCCTGGCCTGGTACCGGGTCGCGGGTCAGTGACCTCTGAAAGCGACTCCAGGTAACCTTCAGGTAATGCCTCCGCATGTTCCCCATTCAGCACATCCTTGCAGTGCTGTATGACCCTCTTGGGTTTAGCGCTTGGCTTGATTATACACCTCTGGGATATATACTCATTTCGGCCTATATACACGGAATTATATCCACCCTTATCGGACCCCGGAGTAGAAATCAGCAAAAGCGATCGATAAGAGAGATGGAGCCAGGAGCTATAAAACAACCCTTGCAAACACAAGTAGGTGAGTACTTCTCGATATCTCGAGTTCAGATAACACACTTGTTGCCTCCCCACACGCACACGCACACACACACACACACACACACACACACACACACACACACACACACACACACACACACACACACACACACACATTTATTTAACAAATTTAACAAATTATATTTACTATGAAATCCAAGCAGCTAAAATAAATATTTACATCATAATTATATGTGGTGCTGAAGTGCCAGGAGCTGATAATATTCATTCACAGTTGACACTGACGCGACGGTAAGGTAAACCCAAACACACATCGACCCATTAAAACTTTCCCTTTAACGTAGAGTTCATGACCAATGAGATCAGCAGGAAAAACTATCCAAGTTTGCCTTGGCTCCGTCTGGGTTGATTTCCACGCTTATCCAGCCATTGCGCTGAGTGCATACAAAAACTGGCTGTATAAAGCTGCTCCAGTGTGATCCTTTAAAATACCCAGAAAAATCAAGCAGCGGCAGGTAATGCTGCCTAATAGTGGGTTCTGGAGGTCAGGATGAGAGAACCTCATGTCTGACACGAGGCTTCAAGTTCAACTACTTCTGACAGTTTTTTTTTCTTAATTAAAGCGCTGAATTCGTGTGGGACATCAAGGAGTAGTGGAGGTTCGATCCTCCGTCTGCTTAGCGCAAGATAGACAAGGGGAAAAAAAAGGGGGAGGGAACTCCAGCTGGCGCAATCAGAACCAACATGACCAAAAAGGAGCGAGAAACGGCGTGTCCGCCCTTGTTTACTTCAAGACAGCCACTTCTTGGGATGTGTCTCAACCAGCCAAGGGCAGAACTACTACCCTCGGCCTCACTGGAATGCGCCGAAGTGCTAGGTTCCAAACTAAGGATATTTTCTTTGTGGGAGGGTGGCTGGTGATTTCTTTGTGATCTTTATGCCCCAATGACCGCCCGCATGCCCAGCTTGACGCAGCTGCTATGCTTCCTTTGTCACACACCACGCCTTATTCTCACAGTCTTGGCGCAACTAATTCATTTAAAATAAGGGTAACTGAAAATACGTTTTCATATTTGATATCTATGGTGTGACTGTTGGTTAAAATATTTGCTATATTAGAGATAAATAGTAAAGTAAGAAAAATATTGATTCTCGGAAGGCGTGAGAGTTAGTGCGCACGCACCCATGTTCTGTTGCGGCCCATCTGCTGGGATCAGTCAGGGTTTGCGCATCAAAGAGAGAGCACGTTTCTCGAGCCGCTGAGTGATCTCCCATGTGGTGTCTGTGGTGTTCCATGAAGTGTTGGTAGTGGCGGCCACAGTAAAGATGGTGTCTAGTGTGTGTCGTGGATCATACCCGAGCATGACTCCACATGCCTCGCCTTCGCGGAAACCGCACATCGACCCCCAAAAGGATTACTTTTCGCCGTTGCAAGTGGAGACGTCAGTGGAGTATGACCTTCCAGCGCACATCTATCCTCCCAAGGGCTCGCAGCCTATTCTCATGATCCACCCGGGGTATGTCTCGGCCGTCAGGGCCAGGTCCAGGGCCGTTGTGACCCCTTCCCCCACCGCCATGGTGGCCACTTCAGGTGCGGCGAGGCCTATGGCCCAGTTGCAGCTGCCGCAGCAGCCGCAGCCGCAGCAGCACCAGCAGGTGGTTGGGGCCAGGCCCTCCAGAGCAGCACAGGCTCGACCCTGGTGCATGTGCGGCAATGTCAGCTGCAGTAGTGTCAAATCAGTCAATGTACAAAGTGTGAGAAACGTACAGAGTGTTCAGAACCAGAGTGGAGCGAGAAGTATTCAGAGTGCAGGCAGGAATGTACAGACTCAGAGTGCGTCCAGAAGTGTACAGAGCCAGAGTGCAACAAGAAGTGGTCAGAATCAAAGTGCCAGAAGTGTGCAAAGTGTGAGGGATGTGAGTATGTTGGGGGTCAGCAACAGCAACAACAGTAGCAGTAGCAGCAGAAGTGCTGTTGTGCTTTTGCAGCAACAGCCACAACAACAGCAACAGTCACACCAACAGTCACAGCAGCAACATCAACAACAGTTACACCAACATCAGCAGCAGCAGTTACACCAACAGGAGCAGCAGCAACAACAACAGTTACACCAACAACAACAGCAGCAGCAGCAACAACAGCAGCAACAACAACAGCAGCAGCAACAGCAACAACCACAGCCACAGCAACAGCCACAACCACAACAGCAGCAGCAGCCACAACAGCAGCAGCAGCCACAGCAGCAGCAGCCACAGCAGCAGCAGCCACAGCAGCAGCAGCAGCCACAACAGTTGGTGTGGGGTAGTGGTGGTCGGTGTGCTGGTCCATGCTGTAACCCCAGGGCAGCGGCTATGGCGCCTCCTCAGGCAGAATTTGTGGCTCCTGGCCTACCGCCTTCCCTGCTCGCCCGCACGCCCACCAGAGGAACTGCGGGCGGCTCTCCGAAACTGCGGGCGGCACGCAGCAGACGGGGACTGTCTGTGGCTAGCAGTGTCAACCTGCCGGACTACCTGGGCACCAGCCGCCCGGCTAGGATTGCCGGTGGGGCCGTCCACGTCCACCCACGCCCACGGGCGTTATCTACCTCTATGGGTGCTATTGCCGCCACGCCCGCACCGCCCATGGCGCACCAACACGTTGGCATGGGCGCCTCCCTCACCACTTCCCTGGACCTGGCGAGGGCCGATCCCCTCACCCCGAGGTCCATAATGCCCGTCCAGCAGCAGCAGTCGCTACAGCAGGCGGGCTCCACCTCCTCGCTCCTCTACACTGTGGGGCTCTCCAGGGACTCCGGGTGCTCCGTGGGCGCGGAAACTGCGGGCGGGGAGTGGGCGTCTGACCTCACCCGCGGCCTCGTCGATTCAGGGTTCTGCACGCCCGTCGATCTCACAGACGATTTTATGACAGGTGAGATGAGTGTTGAACTCTACGGTCTTTGCACGCCACTTTTAACTTGTAAACAACAATTAATAACGTCATAAATGCAGTACAGTGTATGATCTAAAAAAAAAAAAATAGGTCAGTGTGATGTGTACATTACTTACGTGCTCTGAGTTACTTAAAGATCTTAAAAAAAAAATGCACATAAAAACTCAAAACACAGTCATCCGCGCTTTACCCACGATATTCTGTGCAGTATTACGTTAAAATATTCGGTTGTGTATAGAGTACTCATCTTTGTTTTGGGTGCAGTCGATTAGCAAGGCTGAGGCGAAGGTCAAGTTTAAGGTGCCGTCTCAGCGCTGCCATATGAGCTGCGTTTGCTTGTTTTACTCAGTGACAAATTTAAGTGAATTCAGTTTGTTTTTTTAACGTATGTTCATTTGCCTTGTAGTGTTTTTGAGGCGCTTGTGTTTTGAGCTGCTCAATCATCAGGATTGACCAGGTTGAATATTGTGTGGTTCGGAATTAAAATGAAGAGAGATTAAAACATTTTAGTTTGATGTGTGGCCTATACTGGTTCCCGATTTTCTTACAATGCAGCCAAGTAAACCGGATTTTTTCTCAAGTCTTATCACATGCTTAAAACTTCGTCTAAACATGTTTTAAGCTTGCACAGTACTAGTGTAAAAAATGTTAGGCTTACACATTGGTCTCATGTGGAAATTGTAATATATAGTCTCGCCCCTGAATGCTGTGTAAAATTTGAGTTATTCGTAGTGTAAACACGTCTGGTGGTCGAGCTCCATTTCTTGGGTGTGTGCGTGCAGCAGTGTGTACGTGCAGTAATGTGTACGTGTGATAGTGTGTACGTTCGCTAGTGACAGGCGGGTGAAGGAGGGTTCAAAGCACTCGAGGACACATGCTCGGGTAACCAAGCTTGGCCCTGAGAATCTTGCCTACTTTGCTACCTCACTACGATTCCCCTCCCCCTTTTTTTGTCCTCCAATGTACATTGTCATATACAACGAATATTACTTCTTTCCATTAGATTTTCACTGGCGGGCGAGAACAATTTTTTATGGTTTTTCACTGAAAAAGCATAAAAAACCATCTTTTCATTCCTCTCAATAAATTTCAGTGTGAAACGCAAGGATCAAGAAACAATGAGGTGGCTGGTGCCTCTACCCCCCCCCCCCCCCCCCCAGCACCACCTGTCAGACTTGCCGGTGCCGCCAGTGGTACACACACAAGGTTTAACTATTCTAAATTTCATCATCACTTTTCATTAGTAGCGACTCCTGGCGCACATCTCTCAGCTGTGTGTGTGTTAGTGCGTGGTGGTCTTAGCTGTGGAAGTCTAGCAGTGACAGTTGTGGATGTTCGTAAAGAATAAGTGGGAATATTGGTCACTTGGCAACTTTCCCGAGGGGGGGGGTTGGGGAAGGTATCTCGATTTATGTTTTTTTTTCCCACTTCTCACGACGTCCTTCCGCGTTGCTGGGAATTGAGTGTGCTGTGCAGATGACGCGTACTAGAAGCTCTTGCACATGTTAAAATAATAACGTTCAAACGTGAGGCGCTGACGTGAGGTCGGGGGGTGTGACTGAGAAATGACGGCTTGGCACCCGAGGCAGGAAGGATGCTAGGCACAGCGGCCAACAATTCTTCAGTGTCGCCTCGGGTCGGGGCGGTCTGGTCTGGCTTGTGTCTCCATGCCCGGCGTTTCTAACAATGAACCTGGGTGTGGGCGATGGAACCAGCTTCAGTTTAAGAGAAATATCTTTTTTTTTTCATGGTATATGTTGAGAATTGTCGTTTATAGTAATTATAATGTATGTATTTCTATAACAAATCGTCACTCTGTTTCTGGTCGCTGAACTAATTCGACGTGGAGCTGCTAATGACTCGGATCACCATACACTGAAGACAAGCACTTTTCATCATGCTGGCTTTGTCACACACTTCCCTTTTAAATATATTCTAGTTTTTCACCTACTCTTCTGATTTAATCAGCTCGTTCTACTTTTCAACATGTATTCTCATTATTTCCTAGAATTTATTCTCTGACAGCATACAGGCAGTTGTATTTAGTTTAATTTGGCTCAGTTATCCTTGGTATGCTCTATTTGTATACTCTATTTTTTTTTGTATTTTGTTTATTCATCCATTGTTTGTGTGCTCGCTTCGTCGTGTATGTGACGTTCTTCGTGTATTTGACGTTCTTCGTGTATTTGACGTTCGTCTTGTATTTGACGTTTGATCCCAACAGATACAAGGCAGCACAGGTCTAACAAAAGATCAGCAGGAATAGAACAAATTGCCAAGCAGAGTCACTGAACCGTATCAATTTATTGAGTCTCTTCTGATGTGTGTGCGCCGCTTGCAAGGATCTAGTTAAGCACTCCAGGATCTGGCTAGTAACTGATAGGAGGATTGCATGAATACATGCATAATCGTTCCCAGCTGGATAAATATACAATATATACTCATTGAGGGACGTCATTCAAAGTTGCTACACAGCTTCAGTGACCAACACTAAGCCCCCCCCCCTCCCTCAGCCTTAACTTGAGACTCAAGAAAATGTCTTGAACATTTGATTTCCGTTTTAGGATAAGCTAAGTAAAGTTATGCACATTTTGGGTAAGTCAATTTATAATTTTGCGTCAACCTTAGCAACCTAATCGACTCTTATTAACTTTGTTTAAAATTACCTAATATTGAAGAGCTTAGTTTACCTAACCTAGGAGAAAAAAAATTCTCGTGTGACCCAAAATATCGAATATTTCTATATTTTTAATTAACCTCGGTAGATATTTTGAAGATGGGCTGAAAGTTTGGATACCTGGAGGTTATTCCGGGGATCAACGCCCCAGCGGCCCGGTCCATGACCAGGCCTCCCTATGGATCAGGGCCTGATCAAGTAGGCTGTTACTGCTGGCCGCACGCAGTCCAACGTACGAGCCACAGCCCGACTGATCCGGCACTGACTTTAGGTATCTGTCCAGCTCTCTCTTGAAGGCAGCCAGGGGTTTATTGGCAATTCCCCTAATGCTTGATGGGAGGCTGTTGAACAGTCTTGGACCCCGGACACTTATGGTGTTTTCCCTTAGTGTACCAATGGCGCCCCTACTTTTTATTGGGGGCATTTTGCATCGCCTGCCCAGTCTTTTACTTTCGTAGGGAGTGATTTCTGTGTGCAGATTTGGGACCATTCCTTTAATACACAACAATATTCCAACCTAAAGAGAACGAGGGAAATGAAGAGTATTATCATTGGCTTTGCCTCTCTTGTTTTGTAGGTTCTAGTTGTCCAGCCTATCGTTTTTCTCTCAGCTGTGATAATAACATTGTTGTGCTCATTGAACCTGAGAACTGATATCACTCCCAGGTCTCTTGAGATGTTTGTAAAATGTATGGCCTTGTAAGTGCTTGTGCAACGATGAGTTCATAAATCCTTACACGTCCCTCTGCATGTTTGTGTCGACTGATTTACTGTCGACCTTTGTTTATGGAAAGGTGGGAGGGGGGTCTCGGGGCGTGGGAGCAGTCCCTAAGAGGCGTGGGAGGAGATGTTGGAAGGCATGGAAAAAGGGGGTCATAGGAGGCGTGGGAGGAGGGGTCGGGGAATCGTTGGAGAGGGGGCCCTGAGAAACGTGGTAGGGGGGTCGTGGCTGTCACTGGATGGGTCCTGAGAAGCGTGGGAGGGGGGTCGTGGCGCCTGGTAAAGTAATTGTGGGTTCAGTGTTGTGAGAGGGGTGAAGGAGGGGGAGGGTCCCCACTACCTCAGTCAGGCTGTGACGAAATTAAAGCCTTACGTTAAAAGCGACCGCGAGTATAGATCATTCATTTTTTGAGAGGGGCCACGTGTAGACTAGTGTATATAACCTATTTAGTTGGGATTAGCCGAGGGTGAAAAAATATTTTTTTTCTGTAAGTATCGAGTCAAACAACGACGTAAACCAAAACAACTAGCAACACACAACACTTAAAAACAAATAAGAACGGTAACAAGAACCATCAGCACCAGTTGAATGCTCACCAGAGCACGTGAAATTATTTTATGTATAATATATATATATATATATATATATATATATATATATATATATATATATATATATATATATATATAATCCGTGACAATTTGAGAGCACAAATACAGATCAGCTGTGAGCAAGCACACGAGACAACTGAAAAGCTTCTCTACCTTTCTGTTTCTCTCCCTCAGTATCATATTTTCTAACCTTGACAATATCGAGTCTCTCCTCCCTCCCCGGGGTAATAACGGGAATGGGGTGGTTAGGGTGCGCTGTGTTGACGGTCGATGCCCACGTGTTTAATAGCTCGCCCGTGTCTGCTGACTCAATGGCATTTTACGTGTTGCTGTCTCTTGATAAAGAGACGACGTTTCGCTCAGCGTTGAGCTTCATCGAGGCATGATTAACTTTATTATGATAAAGCTAAGTACCATGCAGCGACTTGCTTTGCATACTGATCTTTGGAACAGACCTGGCGGCGTCATTTGCAAGTAAAAACAGCCTGTTTTCTCTTGACTGAGAAGCTTCTGTTCCATCCTAATTTCAGCTATCTACACAGAATTTGGAAATACTAGAATTAGCCAGAATGCACCTAGTTCTTCCCCTCCCCCTCAGGTAGCCTCGATATACACTGTGGTTGTATACTACTTGTATCTTCCTCTCCCATGTACAGTATCTCCTGCCTTTGATATACCTTTAATGAGTTACGAGAGTTTTTCTACTCCCGGAGCCTGGCCATGGGCCAGGCTCGTCTGGTGCTTGCCTGGTCAACAAGGTTGTTGCTTGCCCACAGCCCCACATTTCCATCAGAGCCTGGTTGATCTGGCACCTGGTGAAGTTACTTGTCCAGTTTCTTCTTGACTTCTACACATGTCCCAGCAGTGTTTCTGAAATGTTGAATAGTCTGGGACCACGAATGTTGATACAATGTTCCTTATTATGCTCACTGCACCCCTGCTTTTCACTAAGTTTATCTTCCACTTCCTC